TAATTTCCTCAAATTTTCCAAAATTTTTGTAAGTTTATTATCTCTATGTTTCTGTTTCAATCTTTGAGGAAATGGTGGTGGTGGCCTTTATACAATGATTTTCATTGGCTTAATAGGATTTTCTTCTTCAAAATGAAAATCTTCACCAAATTTTCATTTTCCACCTCATCTTTTTCAACTTCAACTTCTTGTTGAACTCTGTTTTCTAATTCTTTTCCAATTCTTAGTTGAATAACTTTAATTTGATCTTTATTCTAGTCTATATACTTACACATTACTATACAATATTCCTGGGGGTCTATTGCTAAGTGCAGTAGCAATGCATCTTATTTGATTTTCCAAGTTTTTTTAGCAACTTCTTGACTTTGTAATTGACTACCCATCCGCAATATTAATTCTTCCATTAAAAACTTTTTCTACTTATTCTACAAATTATTAAAAACTCGGGGGTAATAAATTTCATAAGCTTGGTTCACTTGATTGTTGGAGTGTCCCAATGGGTTCATAGTATTGTTTCCCCATTGTGGATTTGTACCATTAGAATTATTGTTACTCCAACTAAAATTTGGATGATTCTTCCAACCAAGATTATAATAATTAGCATAAGGATTATTGAAATGAATGCTTATTGTATTTAAAGTCTCCAAGAAGATTAAGATTATATCATTTGTCCGAATGAGTTCTCCTCAAGCACATGTGCTGTCTGAGAGTAATTCATTCCATATTAATCTATCTTCTTTGATATAACAGATAATTGGGCAGCTTAAATAGATATTGCATTAGAATCATGTATACTAGCTACTCCTATTGGATTTACCCTTTCAAAGGGCTATTAAAAATTATTAGTAGTCATCTCTTCAATTAATGAATATGCTTCATCAAATGGTTTTAACATTAATTAACCACCAGCAGCAGCTACAATTATTGATCTAAGAGATCCAACGAAACCATTATAAAAAGTTTGAATTATTAACCAATCTGACAGTGCATGGTATGGACACTTTCTAAAGAGATCTTTAAATCTTTCCAAGACTTCATAAATTGATTCCCTTTCAAACTGACAAAAAAGATGTGATATTATTTCTAAGCTTAGAAGTTTTTGAAGGTGGGACATATTTAGATAAAAATTTTTGTGATTTTTTGATAAATCTCCCCATGTTCTGAAATAACCAAGTGCTAATGAGTTTAACCACTTCTTAGCTTTATCCCTTAATGAAAAAGAAAAAATTCTATGTCTGACGGCCATCTGAAACTCTATTATATTTAAATGTAGCACACAATCCTTAAAAACTAGCAAGTTGTAAATTAGGCTCTTCAGTAGGTGTCGGCGCTATTTTTGGTGTGGGGTTTGCCCGTAAGAAGCCATCGGTCATACGAATTGAAATCCCATTGCCCGCTTCGGAATGACATTTTTTTAAAAAATTTTAGTTTCGAAAAAGATGAAGTCAAACTGACCCCATAATTTTCATAGTTTAGATGAAAGATCGCTTTACCTCAAATCCTGTATCTATCCCAAAGGATGAACACAAGAAGTGAGGGTGAGGCTCGGTGAGGGTGAGAAGTGAGGGTGAGGCTCGATCAAATAAACTAAAGAAAGTTATGACATCCATTTTGGTCTGCGAAACCAATGTATTCCCCGATAAGTTCCCCTATTTAATATAAGGAATTAAATACGGTTTATATTATGCTGGGTTTGGGAAAAGCTTCCTATAAGGGAAAACCCCTATAGTTAATTACATCATAGATAACTGAAGTTACCTAAGAATACTCTCGATAAAAATCAAGAAAAATTACCT